CCCCAAAACCCCAAAACCCCAAAACCCCAAAACCCCAAAACCCCAAAACCCCGAACTTATTTAATGAATTGATTTAAATAATTTTTAGCATAAATGCATCTCTAAGCTTTTTGAGGAGATATTAAAATCTCAAGCAAGCTGATCTATCATCAACATTCTTTCAAAAAATTGCAGTAGCTTAGTGAGTTGCTCTTCCTTTCCTATGTGACGAGTAAGAATTTGAGAGATTATTGAGAAAAATAATGACTGAGAAATACTTACCCTTATCTGTCTGATGATCCCATTTATGTCCCACGAATGAGCAATATATAATGACTCTAATGCAGATTGGCCCAGAATATCCTTGTGATTTGCTTCTTTTATTATTTGAGGGTTTCATGTTGGAATTTGAGGAGATGATTGTGTATTCTATTCTTACTGACCCAATCCTCACTATAAATAAATTAAACTCTATCTTCGAAGTTGCTTACTGTTTATCATAATTGAGTTAGTAAGGAAACTATTGGCTGAGTTAATAATTTTATCGACAGCTTTTTTTGATTTGACTGGGATTGGGGTGGGTGAGCGGAGTTTGATGACTTTGTTTTCTAGGGATTAGGGGTTGTGGAGTACCGATAGAGGGGTTTTTGGGTTGAGGAGGAGGGTTGTTGTCGTTGTAGAGAGATGTGAAGATGGAGCAGGAGTCGAGATTGCATTGTAGAGGGGTGTTATAGCAGTTTTGGTAGAATTCGAGTTCTTCTTTAGTGTCGATGATTAATGTCATATTTTAGAGATTATTGAAAAATGGATAGATTACATAAGATTTATTGATTTATATAATGATATAATATTCATGTAATTATTGCCTAATTTAAAAATTTTTTACTATCAAAAAGGTATAGTTTGGTTGATGCTATAAATCAGACTTTTTACATGAAAAAATCCCCATGATAAAAATTCTCAAAATTCCTATAACTACACATACAGCCCTAATCTCCCTCTAAATCCCTCAAATTCCCTTAATCTTCCTCCCCTACCCCCAAAACTATGCCCAAAATCCCTCTCCACCCCCCTTCTCCCCCCTTCTCCCCCCTTCTTCCTCCTTCTTCCCTCTTCTTCCCTCTTCTTCCCCCTCTATCCCCTCCACCAACACCCCAATCACTCCTCCACCCCCAACCTCTCCCCTATCCCTCCCCACAATCCCTCCCAGCCCTCCACCCCCACCTTCTCCCATCACTCCACCCCCAATCCCCCCTACAGCCACCTTTAGCCCGGACATGGGGTTTTGGGGTTTTGGGGTTTTGGGGTTTTGGGGTTTTGGGG